CAGTACCCTGTTGATGGTCTTGATCACCTGCAGAGAGACACAGCAAACCGCGAATCACTGGGGCGCCCGGGTGGCTGGGAATGTTCGTTCCCTGGCACTGCCACGCGCCCCACTCCCAGAAGCAACCCCCACGGGCAGTGTGTAGTACAGCCGGGACAGACCAAACCCTCCTGTGTGGGGCACTGTCGCCTCCTCCCCCTCTCCCATTTTCCCAGGGGTGGCCCATCCCCTCCTTGCAGCCGCCCTCCCCACGCACTTTTGCCCCCTCCCTTCCCCCCCTTTTTCCCTGGGGCGGCCCATCCCCTCCTTGCAGCCCCCCTCCCCCCCCGGTCCAGTGGCCGATGACTGCCATACCTGCTTGAGCACTGCTCCGACGGTGGATCTCTCCATGCCGAACTGGTTCTCGATGGATCAGTAGCTGTCTGGCGTGGAGAGCTTCCAGAGGGCGATGGCCACACGCTTCTGGAGGGGGATGGTGGGCCTCATGCAAGTGTCCCTTCTGCTCAGGGCAGGGGCGAGCCACTCGCAAAGCTCCAGGAAGGTGTCCCTCTTCATCCTGAAGTTCTGGGTCCACTGTCTGTCTCCCCAGCGCTCCAGGACGATGCGGTCCCACCAGTCTGATAAACTGTAACTCTGGCAGCCCAGCAAAGACATTACCTTAGGGGCCAGTTTCCCAGATAACAATCTTGTAGGACAGAAAGGCTGTGAGTTTCAGATGTTCAGCAAGATATTAGTATCCCTCAAAACCTTACAATGAGGCTACATCTACACTATGGCAATTTTGCAGAAGAGGAAATGCAAATAAAGTGCTCATTTGCAAATAAAGTGCTCTCATTTGCATATTCTCTTTCGATCCTTTTTGGGGAAGAGGTTTTTCCCAGAAAAAAAAGCAGTGTAGATGGGGCCATTTTTTGGAAAAAAACCCTTTTGCACAAGATCCCTTATTCCTCAAAAAATAAAGTTTATGGGATCTTGGGCAAAAGTTTTTTTTTTTCCAAAAAATGGCCCCATCTACACTGCTTTTTTTTCTGGGAAAAACCTCTTCCCCAAAAAGGATCGAAAGAGAATATGCAAATGAGAGCACTTTATTTGCAAATGAGCACTTTATTTGCATTTCCTCTTCTGCAAAACTGCCATAGTGTAGACGTAGTCTGAGAGTAACTGGTTTGTTCAAAAGTAACAGAGAAATAGCCGTGTTAGTTTGATCTTGATAAAACAAAAAAAAGTCGTGTTGCACTTTATTAGGTGATGAGCTTTCGTGGGGCAGACCCACTTCTTCAGATCATATTCTGAAAGTGAATATGCATGATCATTATGTAACAGAGGGATACAATGAAAAAGTAAACAAAATATACAGTAATGAATCAGATACATAGCATAGACGGTGGGGACGGGGAGGGTGGGGTGACAAGGAAGGAGGAAATTGCTTATTGTAAGTGTCAATTAAGTGGCTTATCTGGAATTACTACAATTATCAAAAGGTGGGGAGGCTGTCTTTGTAATGTATAAGGTAATTATCATCTAAGTTAAGGCTCATTCGCAACGTGTTGAATTTTAGCATAAAAAAGAGTTCTGAAGTCTCTCTTTGTAATCTGCTGTTAAAGTCTCTTTGTAGTCAGACACATGTTGTTAGTCTACATTTTAATCAAACTGGCCATTCCCTTAAAGACCTCAGTATACCTTCCTAGACAGTCATTTCCCATTTTGTATGTGTGAAACTGATTGTTCCTTCCTAAGTGGAATACTTTGCATTTATCCTTATTGA